CAGTAAATACTAGTACTACTTCAGCATACAAGTCAAAATGCCAGGCACAGAGGTATCTGTCCTCAGAGAGCTGAAGTATGCGTGGTCCCTGGTACATTTGTTTATTACATTTCAGAGGTACATGCTGAGCTCTGTGCTGGCAGCAACTGGCTGTATTCATCTTAACAGTGAGATCATGTCATTCAAAAACCTCTAACATGAGCTTTTCTGCATGCACTTGATGAACATGAAGCAATGAGTAGAACGCATTTCAGGCTAAAGAAAACGAAAAAAAGAAGAAGCAGCACTTAGGATTCATACCTCTGCAGTATTTCTGTCATAGCGGTTAAGGCGCCACGGCCTTTTCAACTAGCTTCTTAACACTGATGTGACAATGAAAGCCCACAAAGAAGGGAATCAGAGCAGCTTTATTCCCAGAGTTCACTGGCCATATTCTCTTCTGTCTAGCACTGATGTAAATGAAGGGGATTGCCAGAGTTGGCAGATCCAAGGTATGAAACAAGCACAGAGGCAGGGGACTGATTTTATTTCAAAGCATCTTCATTTCACTCCGCCCTTTTGTCTTCTTCCTCTGCTGATTGCCTTGGAGCAGCAGGGAGGGTTGCAAGTGAAATTATCCCTGAAGTGGGACCATTATCAGCTCTTCTGTCTGGCTGGGGAAGAAAGCAGCACAGGCAGCTTGCAGTGTCGGCTCCCTTACAGGGGAAGACGAACAAGGAGCGTGGCTGAGCCCTGAGCACACACACTGATGCACGGGTGCTCCCAGTACAACAGTGCATTTACATCAACCTGCTGGAGTCCACCCTGGCATCGGCAAAAACCCGGCAAGCGTTGTATGTTGGGCTCTTCTCTGAAGGTGGGCTTGTTCTTTCAGACATGCAGACACCTTGGGGGAGATTTTATGTCTGCTATCAACGGCTGGAAACAGCACTAGTGATGCCAAAACACCAAACACCTGGTTTAGCTTTAGGACCTGCAGGAATGATGATATATCTGATCCTGACACTCATGGCAGCTGACAGCCTTTTGTCCCCAAAATGTTCTGTGCCAGGGAGCACAAGGTGGTCACAGTGAAATAATTCCTGGGGCATAAGCTACCCTCCCAGTCCTGCCAGTCATGGCTAAACATGGCACATACGCCGATGCATCTACCCAGGTCTTACATGATCACACATTAACACCGACTTTCCTAAATTACTACTGGTATGGACTTTGTTGACCTTGACACAAGAAGGTTTGATTGGTTTACGTTACCAGATTGATGCAGCCTCTCTGACAGACCTTCTCTCTCTCCTGAAAAGGCTTTTAGATAGCAGTAAAACCTGCTCGGTCTTTTCAAGATATTCTGACATGAAAGTCCCAAAGGGCTTTCATTGACACCTCTTGCACTTAGTAAGCAACATGTATTTACTCAGTTCCAATGGACTTAGCCAAGATTTGCATGTGACAGTTGGCTTTCTGTATAATGGAGTTTAGATTTTCACCTATGTAAGTTGTGAAGACACAAATGGTTTGGATTAGCTAATTTCATCAAATTTCACAGGACTCATGAATAGTATTGAGATGGAATCCAGTTTCTTGGAGAAGACTACTTATGTTTATTAAATTAAATACAGTCCAACTGGGCTCTGCTCCATCCCAAATATGGAAAAATAAAGTAAAATTTGGGCAGCTGTGTTAATGAAGACACCTTATTACATAGCCCTCAATCATCATTGAAATAATGCCATTTATCAGGTTTATCAAGCACAAATGGCAAAGCACAAATTGTTCTTTCCCTATGTTTCAGAACAACTTGAAAGGTATGAAAAAGTATTTTAAGAAAAGTGGACTTAGGTACATACATTCTTTCATCTTGCTGTGGGACCTAGTATTTGCCTTTATTACTTCCAGGATGTGATTTCAAAAGAACTGATTTTGTTCCGATTCCTCTGGAGTCACCAGTAAAACTTTCGTTAGCTCAAAAAGGTAGTGTTGATGTTGGCTGCTTTTTTAAAAGAGCTTACTACCTTGGTGTTGCAGAAGCATTGGTATTGAAGAACTGGCAAAGGTTGAAAGAAAACCCAATAATAGAACAAAACAGAGTAACAACCAAGTCTTTTTCTTGTTGAAGTCATGACTCATAAAAGGCTACAGGCATTCCCTAACCTTCAAAGGTTTTATCAGTTCTGCTTAGAACTGTTCCTCGCTAGTGATGAGGTTTTTAATGCTGGCTGCATTACAACTATGTCAGGTCTCCAGCCAGAAGGCAGAACAGACTAACCTCGGCTCCAGATTTGGAAGATCGAGGAGCAGTGGAGTTTGGCAGGCTCCCACAGGAAGCCATATCTTAAGGAGCTGTGCTCTGGTTTTGAGGGTAGCAGGTGAGCCATATAAAGCAAGTTGGCCTTATATAAAATCTATTATACCTCAAAGCGCTTGGTTAAAAACAAGTTGCTGCTTAGAAATTATGGGGACTAATCAAATGGTCTTTGCCCGTAGTCTGATCTTTTTTTTTCTGAATTCCTAACATGCAGCTGAAGAACTGAGGTTGTTTCTTGGCTGTAGCAGAAGCTAAAGAGGCAATCAGTCTTTTACACATCCTTGAGTGACAACTTAGGATATGGTAAGCGATCCAAGGTGTCCCTGTATGCAGAATGCTCAGAACAATACATCTGCTGTGGTGTCACTCCTGACATCAGATATAAACTTCTTCCCAGCCCATACCTGAATATCAGTGTTGATACATCCTGAGGTACTATTTAACAGCATGTATTCTTTTTGCATATGCTTTACTATATTATGGAATATTTTATCTAAACACTTTGTATCACTGTCACCACCATTCACTAGGTTCATTATTGCTGCAAGAATCATCAAAATACTACCGAAGGTGAGCAACTCCAGGGAAAGGAAATACAGAAATGAGCTGGCAGAAGGGCTCACCAAGCCACTTTTAATCATTTATCAGCAGTCCTGGCTAACCGGGGAGGTCCCAGTTGACTGGAAGTTAGCAAATGTGATGCCCATCTACAAGAAGAGCTGAAAGTAGGATCCAGGGTACTACAGGTCTGGCAGCCTGAACTCGGTGCCAGGGAAGGTTATGGAGCAGAGCATCCTGAGTGCCCTAACACAGCACGTACAGGACAACCAGGTGATAAGGCCCAGTCAGCATGGGTTTTTAAAAGGTAGGTCCTGCTTGCCTAACCTGATCTCCTTCCATGATAAGGTGATTAGTGGATGAGGGAAAGGCTGTGGATGTTGTCTACCTAGACTTCAGTACAGCATTTGACACCATTTCCCACAGCATTCTCCTGGAGAAACTGGCTGCTCATGGCTTGGATGGGTGTACTATGGATGGCTGGGCGCAAAGAGTTGTGGTGAATGGAGTTAAATTCAATTGGTGGCCGGTCAGAAGTGGTGTTCCCAGAGCTCAGTATTGGGGCCAATTCTGTTTAGTATGTTTATAAATAATTTGGACAAAGAGATCGAGTGCAGTCTCAGTAAGTTTGCAGACAACACCAAGTTGGGCGGGAGTGTTGGTCGGCTTGAGGGTAGGAAGGCTCTGCAAAGGGATCTGGACAGGCTGGATCTGAGGCCAACTGTATGAGTTTCAACAAGGCCAAATTCCAGGTCCTGCACTTGGGTCACAACAACCCCATGCAGTGCTACAGGCTTGTAGAGGAGTGGCTGGAAAGCTGCCTGGCGGAAAAGGACCTTGGGGTGTTGGTCGACGGAAGGCTGAATATGAGCCAGCAGTGTGCCCAGGTGGCCAAGGCGGCCAGTGACATCCTGGCTTGTATCAGGAACAGTATGGCCAGCAGGAGCAGGGAGGTGATCGTGCCCCTGTACTTGGCACTGGTGAGGCCACACCTGGAGTACCGTGTTCAGTTTTGGGCCCCTCACTACAAGCAGGACATTGAGGTGCAAAGAAGGGCAACAAAGAAAGGTGAAGGGTCTGGAGAACAAGTCCTGTCAGGAGCGGCTGAGAGAGCTGGGGTTGTTTAGTCTGGAGAAGAGGAGGCTGAAGGGAGACCTTGCTGCTCTCTACAGCTCCTTGAAAGGAGTTTACAGGGAGGTGGGTGTTGGTCTGTTCTCCCAAATAACAAGTGATAGGGCACGAGGCAATGGTGTCAGGTTGCATCAGGGGAGGTTTAGACTAGGTATAAGGAAAAATTTCTTCACTGAAAGGCTTGTCAAGCATTGGAATAGGTTGCCCAGGAAAGTAGTCGAGTCACCATCCATGGAGGTATTTAAAAAGACATGTAGACGTGGCACATAGGGTCATGGTTTAGTGGTGGACTTGGCGGTGCTAGCTTAATGGTTGGACTTCATGATCTTACAGGTCTTTCCAACCTAAATGATTCTATGAGTGTATGATTTTATGAAATGGACAGACAAATTAAGCAAAGTACATAGATACTTGAAGATTGAAATCAAGAGCATTAAAATAGAGAGAACGTACTAAAACCAGATATATATTGGCTATATTGTGAGGAGTACCCCATCCCCTGCAATTTCTCTCTCTTTCTTCACAGATGCAGACAAGATGACAGGGTAACTATTTCTTTGAGGTTCATTTCTTATCAAAAATCAGAACATCCGTGAGCCTGTACCATAATTACTCCAGCAGCTAATTATAATGCCATAGACAGACCATTGTGACTCAAGGACTGGACTGAGCAGCAAGAACAAATACAAAGCAAACAAAAATGTCTGTGCTTCCACGGCAGCACAGTGGCTTTAGCAATAAATAGAGAAAAGAATATGCAGAATAGAAAAAACAGATGAGAGAAAATTCAGAAAATGTATGACATTCACAAATATTCTCTACAGGCAAACGTTTTTTAGGATTACACTAAGTGTTCCTCCAAGCAGCGTACAAACTTTGAGGAATGCAGTATAAGGGGAAAATTTACAAATACAATTCTCTGTAATAGAGGATCTGGGAAAACTTCAGTCATATTTACACTGTTTCATGCTGAGCAGATGACAAGGCTAAGAACAAAACTGTTACTTACATCCTGAGCTGCCATTTGTTGGAACCAAAGTGAAGTTGGAGGCCCAGGGGTTACGCACGATATCCTGCCAATGAATGGTGTCTGCGAAGCAAAGAAATTTGTTCTGGCCAACATACACCCCTCCATTCAGTATTTCTGCATGAAAGAACAAGAGAACATATTTGTAAGTCTTTAGACATACAGCTGATTAAATCTATTGTTGTTTTGTATACTGGAGAGAGAGAGGGCACGAAATTTAAACGCAAAAAATTTGCACTGTAATCTCACTTAATACTCTGAAAACTGGAGGGCAAATAGCTTACAGTATTTGTAAACAGGGACCACTTATTTATATGCTGAAGAAAGCTGATGAAGACAGCCACTCAGCTGCTAGATGAGTTACTGGCTTTACTTGTTGTCCCACTGTAATCAAGTATGGAACAGTACTGTTATTTCTGGGTAAAATAATCTTTAAGACTTAATTCACTTTAAAAACACAGGCAATCCTCCACACTACACTGTATTTCATTAATATGTATGAACACTTAAAACATACAATAAACTAACATGCTCCACCAGGGTAGGAATTCTCTGAGCCCACAATACATGATTAGGCTCCAGTCATCACAATGTCTGGAAAAGCCTGTTTTCTGACCAGACTGTGCTGCTGTAGTACCATGATTCAAAATACTCAAATACTCAATATCTATGATCCAAATCTGAAATACTATGATCCAAAATTACCACTGACATGCCTTGCTGGAAGCTTTGTGTCAAAAGGAGATCACAGAATCACAGAATGTTCGGGGTTGGAAGGGACCTCTGGGGATCATCTAGTCCAACCCCCCTGCC